GAAAGCAGTTTTTAGAATCTATTTCAGGAGCCTTCTGTACCCCGGGACTTCTGTTCCTGTAGCTCTATGCTCTGTTGCGTTTCTTGAAAAACCCAGGTTACTATTGCATGTCCAAGCCCTTTTGAAGCATAGCGATTCTCCTGTCAGCACAACAGGATGGCGGAAGGTGCATCTCAGAGCTCAGCATGCATTCACCCCCATGAAGAGTCCAGGACCTGTCCTGCTTGTCCTCTAGCTGCATGTATGCTGTGCGTCCAGGAGGAATCTCTGTGCAGCTGGCTGGGTCTCTGCTCTTGGCAGTGCTGCTCTTTGGAGTTGGCCAGTGGCTCTAGAGGCTTGACAGATACCAGAGGGAGGTTGCCCTTGGCTTGCAGTCTGCATAAGACAAGAGCAAATACTCTTGAGCACATCGATGTGTTTGGACAGAGATGGTCCTTGTCAGAAGCTTTACATAGCAGTGTTTGGACAATGATTTTTTTTTAAACAATGGGAGGAATCAGGACATTGTAAGAATAGAAGGAGGTGCAGGATTTAGTGCATAGCCATAAGCCAGCAAGAAGCAGGGCAGCACTGGGGAAAGCAGAAAATCAAATGGGGGGGGAGAGAAAGTGCTGTGGCTGATGGACTTGCAGTAGAGCTTGTATGAAGGCAAATCTCCCATCTCCCAAGTGGTGTGGTCAGTGTGATGAGCTTGGAAGGCGGTCTTCTCAGTGGGGTTTGAATGAGCACATGCTGGGCAACAGGAAGCTTCAAGGCAGGGATAGGAAAAGGTGTCAAAGGGATGTTGCAGGTGCCTCATAGTAGACTTAATCTGCTTTTTATATCTTTTTTTTTTCTTTTTTTCCAAAACCACCTTAGCTTCACTGGATGATATAGTACCTGTGCCTGGTCTTACTGGTTACAATTACTTGTGTAAATTCTACATCAGCCACATTACCCTGGTAAAACAGTGCTGCTGCAATAATTCAACTGAAGCTTTATCCAGATGCCTGGTACCCAGCCCATGTATTCAGGTCAAATAAATTAGTGCAATTAATTTGGGAAAAAGACCTAGCATATAACTTATAGCCTCTTTGCAGGGAGATTGTTGGGCAGTAAGATTCCCTGTAGGGTCCCTTGGAGCCTGATTTTTAGCTTTGAGATTTTTGGCTGAGTGTGGTTGTAATGGGACTAGCAGTAGGAGTGATGGATAGAGCTGAAACCACAGGAGAAGCTGGTTGTGGACACCCAGGTGCAAGGAATGAGTGCAGTCAGGCCTGCCTTGGGAAGGGACAGCAAAAGCTGTGATTTTGAGCAGTGTAGGAAAGAGGTGACTCCCGAGTGTGCTGACCACATCAGCCATCAAAGAGGAGAAGGAAGATGTCAGGTGAAATCAGGGATGGGTGTAAGAGATGAAAGTATGCTTTATGGTGAAAGGAGCTTGGGAAAAGGGATGTGAAGGAGAGTAGGGTGTCAACTGGAATTTGGCTTTGAGGTCCAAGGTGGAGAGCAGAGGCAATTTGAGCATTTGTGCTCACCGTGTGCTGCTGAAGCAGGGTTGTACAGTGCTACTGCTGATGGTGTGGTGTTAATGGTGCGGTGGGGGGGGGCTGGAGCTAGCAGAGCCCTCTGGCTCTCACCACATGTCTCTTTCTGCACCTTGGGGTATGGTGCTCTTCACGTGGGGAGTGCCAGTTTGGGCACAAGGGTCTCTTGGGTTTTTTGGCTCTTTTGGAGTGGAATTTGAAAGCTTAATGCAGCCTATTGTGCTGGAAGACTTGCAGGCAAGCTCTCCATGGCAACTCTCCCTAAACACAAAGCACCATATGGCTTTTTCAGAGGGGGAGGGAATGAATCGAGCAGAAAAAGTCAACCTTTGTTTGTGGTGGTGTTTGTCTTCGCTCTCTGATGTGGAGCATGGGGAGGTGGAAGCATGGAGTGCTGTCTCCTGGGCATGGCTTCTGCTGGCCATGCCACCAGCAAGGGTGCAGGTGACTTCTCAGATGGTCTTTCCTTGCTTTTTACAGTGGAGCTTGCTGTAAAAATAAACCCTGCCTGCACAGAGACCTCCCTCTTTGGGCTGAGTGCTCTGCAGGCAGATGGAGCAACCAGTCTCGTGTTCACCCCTACACCAAAAAACACCCAAAGGGCTGGGAAGGCTCCAAGGAGCACTCAGTTTGAGCATGAGCTGTACAGGAGGCAGCTGATGTTGGGGAGCTGTTTGTGCATTGTCTGCCCATGCTTCATACCCCTGCTTCTGAAGGGAACTGGAAGCCTTCACTCGACTGTAAATCCTCCCTCTTCAAGTCCCTTTGGAAGAAATGAGTGGAATAAATATCTTTATCTGTCTGTAGAAAAGCAGGAAGCCTTTGTGTGTCTCCTTGGAGGGGGAGGAAAAGAAATAATACGGGAATAAGCAGAAGGCAGCAGCCTGTTCTTGGCTCCGCTGCCTTCGGGGTGCTCTGCAGTTCCCGGGGCTGCCGTGGGGTGCCACCAGCAGCACTGGAGATGGCCTTGCAGGGTGGCCACCGGTAAGGCTGGCTGGGTTGCCTGGCCTTGCCAGGCATGGGTGCAAGATCAGGCAGCTGGAAGCACTGGCAGCTGCCCAGCACCCAGCTGTTTGGCTGGAGCCTTGCCGCTGTCGGCTCGGGGATTCAGACGTGCTGCAGATGAAGCATTTACGCTGTGCCGGCGCATGCTCGGAGGCTGCGGAGAGCAGAGCTGTCACCAGACTTCGTGCTGGGTGGAACATGCCGCAGGGCAGAGCCCTGGCCAGGCACAGGACCAGGGTATTGTGCCTGCAGCCTGTGTCCCGGTGAGCTGATCTAGCTCTTTGGATGCTCCCATGCCCATCACAGCCACCTCTCTGGAGGTGGCCATTGCCTACCTGCTATGGTCTGTAGTTGGCAAGAGACATGGCTGGCTGTCCCCTCTGTTTCAATGATGTGACATGGGTTGCCTTTCAGGAGCACTGTTTGATTTTCCCAGAAGTGGGCAGAGGCTCCTCTTGGTGAGACCCGCTCTCAGGTGCTCCCATGGCTTTGCAGCAAGCAGGTTGCTGTCCCCATCCCCTCAGTCCTCCCTGCTGTCAGCAAGGAGGCTCTCAAATCCTGGAGTAGCGACAGGGATAACTAATGGGAAAACTCCTCCTGACTGTAGGCTCAGACCCATGGGTGGAGCTGTGCAGGTGGGATTAGGGTAACATTTGAGGAGAGGGAGAATACCATCTTAAGACACTTCAGTGCTAAACCCATTAGTTAGAGTAGGAGATGGCCTGAGGCTGCCTTGCCTTGAGGAACGTGCTCGGGCAGCAGTATTTTTGTGTGCATATCGCTGCCTTGCTCGAGGTTACACGCAGGAGCCCCAGCAGCTGGAAGCGCAGCTCACAGCAGCACCACTGCCTGGTGCCACAAGGGGGGAGAGCAGCGGGGATATTGAAGTCATAAATTGTGAACAAGAGAACCTTTCATCCACTGAAGCCATGACCCTGCTGTGTGCTTACTGTAGAGCACAGCATCGTATGCTGGTTTCTGGAAAAGCAATTTGGCTTATTCCTGGGTTTGATTTACAGTCTAACTCCTGGGAGCCCCAGACCCGGGTTAGGGGAGGTCTCGTTTCTCGGTGCAACGTACTCAGCTTCTGCCACCCCCATGATCTGCCGGTACCCATTGGGTTGGTGGCTCCAGTATCACCTGGGGCCCTGACTGTGTTTGAATTTAATGGTCAGCTGAAAGCACTGGGGAGGGTGTTTGGGTGGGAGGGGTGTTGCTGCAAGCCCGACTCCTTACTCTGTCCTGTGCCTTAATCCCTTGACTTTGTACGAGATGTATAGATCCCTTAATGAAAAATGGCCTTTCCTGATATCTGGAGATGGACCCAAAGCAGGAGCCCTGGCTGTGACTGTATAGGGAATATAACCATTGAGGAAGGCTGCATACGATCCCGTCTGGGTGGCTGTGCTGCTTGGCTGCAGCAAAACATCATGCGACTTACGTGCCCCTTTGGTTTGGACTCGAGCCTGGGAGCTGTTTGAATTGGCTGCACTGCCAGTCTGCTGGGAAGCCACCAGCCTGAAGGACGCAGAAGGCAGACCCTGCTTTGTAGCTCTGCTCTCGTTGTCTGTCTTGAGCAGCCGTAAAAGGAAAGCCTGTCCCTCCCCAAATCCAGGCAATTGCCGAGCTTTCCTAGGAGCGCTGGCATAATGACTCCTTCTGCCTGGCCAAGTTTATCGACATCAGACAAACCTAGTGCTGCAACGTTTGCAGCTCCAAGGCATGTGGTTTTGAGCCTGCTATTTATTTTGGGACTGCAGCATCTGATCTTGATTTGGTGTTTCCAGCCTGTGATCTAGGTCGTGTGCTGGATCAGGCATTAGCTGTTGCTTGAGGGAGCATGGGCAATTTACACTCCCTTCTTCGGTTGAAGGGCTCAGAGAAATGCCGCTCTGCTGCATATGGGTGTTTGGGGGTGGGAGGAGTAATTTTGGGTTTTTTTTTAATAAGAAATCTCCTTGAAAACCTCCCATTTTCCTGTCCTTGTGTGAGGATGGCTCCTGATGTGGCTGGCCACGGGAGGAGCAGTAGATGATAAAAGCTTCGGTGCAGCCTGCTTTCTCTGCGGTTCCCATGGTAGTTGGCTGTCACACATAGATCTAATGTATTCCCTGCCCACAGCAGGATTAAAGCCTTCTGGGAGAAGAATAAGAGGATGCAGGAAACGGAGATAGAGAAGAAACTGGGAAAAGGAATGGAGACCATGGCGGGGTAGGGATGAATCCAGGTGCTATCCCCATCAGAGGAGCAAGGGGCCTTGTAGGACCTCTGATAGGGAGCAGCTATCCCAATTGCCTTTCACCTGAGGTGGTGATGGGATGCCTGGAAGCAGAGGTCCTTTCTGAAAGCTGAAGGCACTGGTGCGTGCAAGAGGAAGTTCCTGTCCTGCTGTCGTGTCTCCCAAAGCTGTCTTTCATTTGAGGGTGCGTGTTTCCTTTTGGTGATTCTCTTTTTTATTTTTCTTTGCAGATCCTGACAGCCAGTTGTATGATATGGGTTATACCCCTGAGGAGGAAGCCCCAGCCTGTCCTGATGAGTTTGATGACTTTGTCACGTTTGAGGCAAGTATAAGCGCTGTTAACTCCCGCAAATGTCAGCTGTATACAGTGTGAGATTTGAGCACAGAGGGTTTGGCTGGGGGAGAAGAGCATTTGCTGTGATAGTTCTCAGGGATGCTTAACAAGTAGTAAAGATGAATCCTTTAATCTGTGGGTGACTTGCCCAGAGAATTTGTACCAAGTGTTTGGTGCGGTTTAAGTTAAAATTGGTGTTCAAGCAAAAACCCACAGGTAGAGCTGTCTTAGCTTGCAGAATTGCAAGAGTATGGTGCCCTGGGTGAAAGAGGGAGACCCTTTTTGCGGCAAAACACTAACAGTGCGGGAAGGGTGCCTGCTGCTGTTGTGTTTGTCTTATTGCTGGAGTTTCTGAGGCGGGAGAACCTGAGCCTGATTTTGAGATGTACCGGCCAGGAGCCTACCTGAGATGCACAGCGGAGCAGTCGGATGTTGGCACTTGGTGCTGTTTGGCCAGTAAAACGCAGAGCAGAAGGCAAAAATGTAGATTTTTCTCTCTAATCTTGGGCTTGATCAAGGATGCTTATCTGACGTGGTTTTTCTTCTTTTTGTTAAAGTTACAGCCTCCATCCTGTAGTTCCCTTCTCTATTCCTTAACACAGGAGCATATTGCAGTGATGTCCTGTATCTACTCTCCCCAGCTAGAAAGGAGGCTGCTGCTACAGTGACCTGTTGTCTGTGTTTATGGGCTTTTGGGTTTTGCTTGGTAGGCTTCCTCCGTTCCTGCTCCATGCCTTCCAGCCTGGAGCAGAAGGTGCTGCAGGTGCCTTCGGAGCAAAGGGCTGGCTGGCTCCCTAGTCCCATACGGGGATTGAAAGGAAAAGCTTCTGTCTGCTTTTCCTTTTCCAAACTTTCCTCTTCAGGTTTTTGACTCTTGTGTTTTGGTACCCTGGATGTTTTTATCACAAAAATTTTTACTTCCAAAGGGATTTCCAGCCTCCTTTATATCTGCGTGCAAATACACATCTTTGCTTTGTATAGCCTGTAATATGTTATTTTGGCTTTGTGACTTCTTGATAAAAGGCTCAAGCTATTCTTTTGAGTTTCGTAATGATAAACTGAGCGTTGAGCAACTGGTCTTCCCCATGTTAGTGAGAAGCACAGGTCCATCACTTAAGATGGCTAGAAGCTCTCACTTTAATGACTTACGCTTGACAGTCAACCAGGTCATCGTCCCATTTCCCAGCCAGGTGCGGGTTTTCTCTTGAGTTGGTTTGCTGGCTCCCATTCTCGATCAAGTGAATGGACTTGCACTGTCACCCTGAGCAAGTCACTTATTCCCTTAGGACTGCTCGGATGAACACAGCCTTAAGAGCACATGATCCTAGGTTCCTCCCCCAGAATGTTTTCAAGGACATGTTGAATATTAGATTATTTTTCCTTTTTGAAAGATAGTTACAAAAGCCAGTGATAGCTGGGTAGAAGTGGGCAGGAAGGGAGATGGGTTTTCATATTCTTTCTCTATGTGGTACAAGGTCACAAATGTGCTTTTTAACCTGTGCGGTTTAGAGGCTGCAACAGCGTGCGTCGCAGTGCTCATGGAGGCAAGGGCTTTTGCTTTTTGCTCCTCAGACCTGCGTCACAGGACAATCTTCTGAGATTCAGAGCAGGGATGTTTTCTAAGGGCTAATTTAACATAGATGAGCTCTGTCAGTGCTGCAAGCTATTCTGAGCAGGAATACCAACAAGCCGGGTATGTGCCCCGCTGGGATGAAATACTTCTGCTGCTGGGCCATCGTTTCCTTGAAACGACAAGGTGACCCAAAGGAAAAAGGTGATGAGTCCTGAAATCTCCTTTTCTGAAAGATGTAGATGGATTCTTATACTGAATTCAGGGTAATCGTCTAAAGATCAGAGCTCTGTCAGTGTCTACGTTTAATATGCTGGGGAAGAATTACCCTTGTTGTCTTGGATACATGATTTGAAATAATTTCCAGCCTGCAAGGATTTCATAGAGGTTCAGCAAATGAGAACATGATCGAGAAATACAGCTCAGCATTGCGAGTGTAAAAATAAATTGGTGTCTTGGCGTGCATGTTTTTTTTCTCGTTCTCGTTCAGCTGAGCGGTGAGCTCCCAACATGCGTTTTATTCCACATGTCCTGTAGTGCTGTACCTTGGAAAGCTTGAGCTGTTTCAGGGAGGGGGGGATGAGAGAAGCCATCGTACAAAGCAACCTGCTGGGAGCAGCAAATGAGTATTTTTTTTATCAGAGCACCGTGCTGCCCTGCCTGGCAGAGCTGTCTGCTGCTGGGGAGGCTCCAGCAGGTCTTTCTTCATCAGGTGCAGCCAGCAGCTGACCTGGAAATCGTTAAGACAGAACACAGAATAAATGGCCTTTACTTATATATTCCACCTTGCTTGGGTTCACCTGGAAGAGAGGAGGGGGAAAAAGCACCCTTCCTAAACTGAAGGTGTTGCCTTTCCTCCAGGTAGACCTCCCACACCACAAAAAAGCAGTTTGTATTCTCAAATGTCCCTGTTTCGGACCTGGGAAGACAGCGCACAGCGAACACACAGCTCTAAAACTTGCTGCTACATGGGACCACCAGGCAGATAAACACGACAGCTTCTTTCTCAACTCCCAAAATGCAGCTGGCAGACTTCAGACACCAGGTGAGGCCCTCCTGCTTTGGCAGGGCCATGGGGTGAAGGAGCACCGCTAACTTTCCTCCTCTCATGTCACATCAGAGGACATTTGAAAAGTGAGCTGAAGGAGGGGTGCTGCATTTGCTGTGCCGTGGTACTGAGAGTAATTGTGGTTACTGGATTTGGACTATCGGCTGTGGTCCCCCTTCAACAGCATGAAATGGCAGTGGCTTGAGTGCTTGGCTCTTACAAGTGCTGGAGCCTTGACAGAGAGCTTTTCTCCTAAATGTTTGTTCAAACAAGTGCTTTAAGCAGTCTAAATGAAAATGTCTTCTCTTTGTTAATAAGGTTGCTCTTGGTGACTCATCCCTTCTTCTTGTGGCTGTCATCAGAGAGTGAAAAACCCTGAATACCCAGTATTGGTGTCTTTCAGTGAGTGTTTGCTCTACAGAGAGAAGAACCAACACTGCATCTTCCAGTAAGGGTGTAAAAGCCTCTCAAAGGGGCAAGGTCTGAACTTCGACACTTCACACAGGGACCTTTGTAATGTCAGATACTTCCACAATTCAGCCACTGGTGTGGCTCCTGATGTGGCACGGAGCTTCTGGCTCTTGTTGCAACTTGCCAGGTCTGTTCAGCAGAGAGATCTGTCTGTTAAACTGTTTTGAAAGAGGATTTCTGTTGCACGGCTCTGCTGAGACAGTGGCTCGCAGGGGGTTGGAAACGAAGGAGCCTTGGGTCCCTGCAGCCACGTGGCTTCTTGTGCATCCAGCTGTGCTTGCGGGGGGGCTCATTGCAATCCCTAGCGCTCCGCTGTCACGCATGCAAGAAGAATCTCATGCCCCATACATCCGCTCTGGAGCAGAGAGCATCACCTTGCTGGGGTTACCTGCCTGCAGCCCCAGGTAGCGTGTTTCTCCCTGACCGACCTGGAAGTGTGGTGGTTGCAAGGCAGCTGGATGACAAGCTTACTGCTTTCTACCTCTGCAGGGAAATGTTATCAAAAAATAATGACAGCGTTTTTGGCTACCCTGCTTTGTAAAAGCTATGTAAAGGGAGCTTGGAGTCTGTCTGTCCAGGCACCTGAGTCCTCAACTGTTTACCCCCAGGCTGGGCTAGTGCAGCTTTGCTGCTGACTAACCAGAAGGTAGGAGTTATCCTTGCCTCCCTTGCAAGCTCCCATGAAGCTCGTGACTCAGTTCTGGGTGCACGGACTCATTTGCAATGCTCTGGAGGGAGGAAAGGTGAATTTGGTGTTACCTTTCTTGATATCCACTGTGCCTTGCCCTAGGACAAGGGCTCTCTGCCCTGACTTCTGGGGGCAGATGAGCTCACTTGAGCAATGCAGAGCGGGAAGGCTGACTGTCCCAAAAGGAAAGCAAGCCGCAAAAATTCAGTGTGCTGGCAGAGTTACGCTGGGATTGGGCATGGAGATGCGTAACCTTAGGTGGGCTGGAGGAGAGGCAGAGCCAGTGCAAGGCTGTGCTCCGTAAAGGCTCACTGGGAGCACAACAAATAGCACAAATGCTGATTTTAGCCATGGGAACTCATGCTTTGGGCCAGCAAGGTCACAGGAAGGCCCTTTTTGAGATCTGTGAAATAGGGCAGCTGAAACTGCTGTGGGTGAGAGGTGTGGGGACAGTGGGGCAGGCGGTGCGGTGCTGCGCAGTGCTGTGCGCCTCGCGCAGGGCTATTGCCATCTGCTGGGCGGCCGCTGTGGATCCTCTCAGTAGCAGCCAGGAAAATGCATCGCACTGAGCTGTGCACAGCCACGAGAGGGGAATTTTGCTCTCCCAGAACAGCAACGCTAACCAGATGTGTAGTAACACTAGCTAGGCATGCATGTGGGCACCCTGCAAACCTTACACCCCTCCAGGCATGTCCCCTCTGGCTAAATGTTCAGTAGCAAGTCCTACAGCACAGTAGGAGTGGATCTGGGGAGTAAAATGGTTGTTGGTGAGGTCCCACAGCTAGTTTTGTGCATTTTGGGAGGAGGGGATACTCCCAGCTCTCTCCAGCCTGCCTCTCTGCGGGCACAGCTGGCGGCTGCTGAAAGATCTGTTGTCTCTGTCAAAGCTGGAATGTCTTTTCATGTGGAGCAATTGCATTTAATGCTTCTTGAAGGGCAAAAATCAGAGCGAGGCAATTTAAATCCAAGTTGCTGGATTTCTCCAACTGCTCAGAGTTTCTACAAAGGGGACCAAAGACTTGCAGGATTCCAGCTGTGTGCTGGTAACACAGAAGCTGTTGCTGAGAGCGCGCGGTATACCACAACTTGGGTGTGCAGGAGCTGTTCCCCAGAGGCATCAGCTATCATTCCTCGTGGCTTGTGTTTTGCAACGAGCCCATGTGAGGTGGTTGTACAAGTCTGCTCTCTCCTCCTGATAGCCCAGTGGACCT